AAAAAAAAATTTCGGACTTTATCTTATCTTCATGGTGAAAATGGCTACCGAATGCTATTTTTGTGTGAAAATTTTCGATTTTGTATTTTCCATTTTTAACTTTATTATGCTATAACTTTTTGAAAAATGTATGAATCATTACAATTTTTTTATGAGAAGTAGTATTTATATAGATCTTTCATTCGACATACTGTTTTTTTAAATCGGACCATTTCCCTAAATACAGGGGGGATTCAAAACATAAAAATGCATATAGAAAGTAGAACTTTTTCAACGTAACTTTTGAAAGTGTTCCGGAAGGTCTGACACTTTTATATATATCTTAAATTAAAGCTAATGTAATATACTTTATAATGGTAAAAAAAAATTTCGGACTTTATTTTATCTTCATGGTGAAAACAGACATTAAACTTAATAAAAAAAATACGATTTTTGTAAAAAAATTCTTTTTTATATTTTTAACTTTATAATGCTATAACTTCTCGAAAGATGTATGGATCAATATAATTCTTTTTTTTGTAGATGCATGATGTCTTTACCTATCATTTGGTATATTTTTTTTATAAATCTGACTTTTTACCTGCCTACAGGGGGGGATTCAAAATGACAACTTTTTCACAAAAAATTGACTTTTTCAACTTAAATTTTGAAAGTGTTCCGGAAAGTCTGACACTTTTATATATATCTTAAATTAAAGCTAATGTAATATACTTTATCATGGAAAAAAAAAATTTCGGACTTTATTTTATCTTCAAGGTGAAAATGGCTACCAAATGCTATTATTGTGTGAAAATTCTCAATTTTATTTTTTACATTTTTAACATTATAATGCTATAACTTATTGAAAAGTGTAATGATCAATATAATTTTTTTATGGGAAATACTATTTTCTAATAATCTCTTTTTTATTCGACATACTTTGTCTTAATCAGGATATTAATAAGGAACTAGCAGTTTATGAAGCTTTTGGAATAATCCACCAATTTTTTTAAATTAAACACTATCTAAAGATTTGCATCGAAGCGTTTTTTTTGATAGTGATTTTAATCACTGTCAGATATCATTATACTTGATCCAACTATGCCACGTCACCACTGTGCCGCGACCCCCCTGTGCTTGGTTTTTTTTACTTATAACTGCCAAAACTTTTTTGAAAATTACCAAATCTATATAATAATTTTTTATAGATACACGAGGAACTTACCTATCATTTTGAATATATTTTTTTATAAATCTGACCCTTTACCTGCCCACAAGGAGGGATTCAAAATTATTTTTTCTTAAAACTGCCATAATTTTAAAAATGACCGAATCAATATAATTTTAACATATAATATAGTCTTATGTATAGTCCTACATGTTTTAAACAAACGCGCACGAAACATATTAAACTTGCGGCAGCGCCTGTGACGTATTACTATAAACTGTTCTAAATAACATTCTAAATAACAGCTCATCGAACTAAAAAGTTAAAAATAATTTTTAACTTTTTATTCGATTTGCTTCAAGAGCGTGTTTTTTAAGTTTTTTTAAACTATATTTATTTTTTACTTTTTAGTTTCATGTTATGATAGTAGTTACTATCAATATCATGGTTGTAACGGGTAACGGGAAATCAGGGTTCGATTCTGGAGAGGGAGTCTGAGAAACGGCTACCACATCCAAGGAAAGCAGCAGGCGCGTAAATTACCCACTCCTGGAACATGGTGGTAGTGATGAAAAATGATGATACGGGAATCATCCTTTGTAATCAGAATGAATACACTCTATATCTCTTAATGAGAGTAAAGCGTGTTAATATATATTTTTAATAGTAACTAGAATATATATATATATATATATATACATGTAAAGCGACTTAAGTACGTAAACGAATCATGCCCTGGTATAGCCTTGTTTTGTTGGCGGGGGGAACGTTATACCTAAAGTATAAACGGCGGCAGCGGCGGTAGAAATATATAAATATATATACGTAAGGCACATTACACGCGCACGGTATTGGTCAGTCAAAATACAAATTTGTTTATATATATATATAATTGATATCATGCACGCGTGCACGGGTACGAAAACCAAAAATATAAAATTATACAGAATTAGTGTTGCCGGTGATTGGTGAGCAGGGCGGGGTGAATGCGTTACGACGTCTAGTCTCAAGGTCATAGACGACGAGTACGCGGGAATAATAACACGTTGCAAGTGAAAAGTGACAAACAACATACATGTGAAACTAATATAAGCATGTTAAAAACCAGTCGCCACAAGTCATACACAATTGAATCACAATACCTCATTCCCCGCGACGTATAGTAATTCGCATTACACTAATATATTTATAAAATATTGTATATATACACACTATGTATTGTTATAAAGATAACAGATTGCGACGCTTGCTAATTTTATAAAACGACCACCCATTGACAACCTTCTGCTTGAAACTTATCATCTTTTTATCGCTGTATCAATGTTTCCCTAATATTATATTTATAAAAATGCTTCTCAAGTTGGTATAAAATTTAAAACTAGAAAAATCAAATGAGTTTATTCTAACTTAAAAAAAATTAAGAAAAAATGCAAAAAAATCATTGTCATTGGCGGTTTGGAACCTTGTTCCCCAAGTGCGTCAAACACAAGTCAGGGTACGTCGCTGCTTTCGGCTGAAAAAATTGGCTATTTAAGCTAGTTTTAATTTCAAAGTTATTTTTCTTGACTTCAAAAAAGCAAACAAATTTAAATATGTTTAACTTTCTATGCTATATCAATTTTATTTATGCAAATCAGTGTACTCCCTTGTCATTTATTTTAAAATAAAATTAAATTCAAAACCCAGAATTTTAACACAAAAATAGCATATTTTTGGTAGTCATTTTCACCATGAAGACAAATCCAGAAGTCAAATATTTCTTTTTCAAATTAAAGTATATTACATAAGCTTTAATTTAAGATACATATAAAAGTGTCAGTATTTATGGAACACTTTAAAAATTAAATTAAATTGAAAATGTCCTAGTTTCAATACGCATGGTTAAAGTTTTTACCCCTCCTTGTATAAAGGGGTATGATCCAATTTACAAAAAAAGTGTGTCAGATGAAAGGGGTATATAAAATAATAATAATATTGATCTATACATTTTTCCAAAAGTTATAGAAATATAAATTTAATAATATAAAATATAAAATCGAGAATTTTTTCACGGAAATCGTACGTTTTTCTTTAACTTTGATGTCCGTTTTTACCACGAAGACAAGTCCAGAGGTCAAATTTTTTTTTTCAAATTAAAGTATTTTACATTAGCTTTAATTTAAGGTATATATAAAAGTGTCAGTCTTTCTGGGACATTTTCAAATATTAAGTTGAAAATGTTAATGTTATGTGATAAAGTTGTTACTTCAAAACCTCTCCTGTTGTAATCTTTTGACATATTTTTTATCAAAATCGGTCCATCATAGTAAAATTTATACCTTCTCAGCTTCGCATCGAAGCTAAAAATTTGACTTCTAGATTTGTCTTCATTTTGAAAATGACTATTGTATTCAAAATAGCATATTTTTGTGTTAAAATTCTGGGTTTTGTATTTTATATTATTTGACATAAGTGACGTACTAATTGGGTATTAATTTTACCATGTGTTTACAATACGTCTGTCGGCGAATAGAGAGACAAGTAGTTCGTACCGGTTGACCAACTGCCTAGCGTGACAGAAGGGATCGGTGCTACCTACCAGACTGAGATGGCATAAGGGTTGCTTGTAGTCTCAACGACGGTCAGTGTTCAAGAACCAAAGCCGTTTTGCGGTGGTCGAGTGGGCTGGTGGGTCGGACCGGGCACGGACGTCGATGCATTCGAGATGGGCTTGTTGCTCGCTCAATGGTCGACGCTCGAGGTACCGAACCGGCATGTCTCCGCGAACGAAGCGGCGGAAGAGTTGGACTGGAAGGTGGTCGCAGCCTGCGACTTCGCCTTTCCGGCCAAACGACCGCCGTCGACTCGCGGACCGCCAGTCCACTGGTAGAATGAGGAAGTGGCGGCCAGGCGTAAGTAGTGCATCAGGGACAGGAGGGCCATGACTCGCTCCAACCGATGGCCAAGGGACCCGGAATTCCCGGACCCGAGGGAGGCGCTGAGGTTGACCCGCAAAGAGCTGAAGCTTGCTATCAGGCGGGCCAAAGCAAAGTGCTGGGCCAAACTCATGAAGTCGGTGGATCACGACCCGTGGGGGAAACTCATCGGGTCGTAATGCGTTTGTCATAGACAAACGTCTTAAGTTAAAAAAGGGAGGGGCTACGGCAAAGCCCGTAGCGGAGGCGAAAAATGCCTCGGCGGTCCAAGGGACCCCAAAGGCGTCCTGTGCGCCGCCCACCAATGGATGAGGTTCCTTCAAACGAACCTCAACCATTGTAGGGCGGCGCAGGATCTGGTCCGGCCCCGTTGCGCTGCGCTACAGTGTCGGTGTGATCGGGCTCTACGGGGCTACGAAACGTCGGCACGAGCGCAGTTTCCCTAGCTCGGGGAATCGGGCGCGTCCTCAGGTTGCGGATAGAGGAACGGCCTGCAGATATGCAGGTTAGCCGCGAAATAAGCAGTCCATTCATTTGGACTGACGAATAAGCGGTCGCGGACAGCGAGCCCCTCGTTCGCTCGTTAACCCTGCAGATATGCAGGGTAGCCGTNTGTCAGTTGCGCTCCGTTCTGTTCGGTTGTGTAACATCTACGTCTCTGCCTTATCGCATTTTTTTTTTTTCTGTTCGCGTTGTGTTTTTGTTGTTATTTTAAACTCTCACAAACAATACTTTATTATGCCTTTATGCAACTCATGCTCCGTTAATATTGTGTCGGCCCTGTCTATAACGTGTACTGACTGTAATTTGACCTGGCACGCCAAATGTCAAAAACTCTCTAAGGAAGATGTAGACTATTTAAAAGAGTCGGACAATATCTGGAGATGTAGCAGTTGCTCTAAAGCCAAAAGAGTCTCGATCCGACTTGACTCCTCAGTCAACTCGAGTAACACTGATTTAATTGAAATAAAAGAAATTATACTTCAACTTAAAGACACTTTTCAAAAATTTAAGGAAGATACCTATATTAATTTCAACAACTTAAACGCCAAATTTAATGCAATCGATAAGATTATCACAGAAAACAATATTTTGAAAACACACGTAATCCAACTAGAAAACAAAATTGAATCCATGGAACGCCGCCAAATATCAAATGATATTATCATTGATGGAATACCTGAAAATAAAACAGAAGATTGCACTCAATTAGTCCACCAAATATGTAAAGAATTAAATTCAAATATAAACGTGTCAATGATAAATGATTGTCACAGAATCGGTTTTAACCGTAACAACGCACGTCCCAGAAGAATTATAGTTAAATTCATAAATCACCAAGATAAAATAAATACACTTAAAGCTCGCCAAATAAAAAGAAACTTTTCTACTAAGGACATTAACTTACAGCCTGATATGCCTATCTACATAAGAGAAAATTTAACTACAAAAGGTAGCAAGCTATTCAAAGAAGCAAGAGACATCAAAAAATCACTCAACTTTCAATTCGTCTGGACGAAAAATGGTCTTGTTTTCCTACGAAAAAACGAAACGGATAAAATCATACGTGTTGACAATGAGGAAGTAATTTTGAAATTAAAATCACAGTATGATCATTTAAACTCAACAAACCTAAATTCGTAAATATAAAATTTATATACTCATTACTTTTATACCTATATTTAGTTTATATAATTTATCATACACACATATTACCTCGTCTTTATACAAATTTAATACTACATTTCAACTTTATACATAATATTATCTTATACAATTATTATTTCTATGTTAAAACTCTCACACGCATTCCTTATCTTTATTACTTCATAATTGCCTTCATAGCGATAGCTGGGGGCAGCGTATTCATAGCAAAGCCATACGAAACTCATAAAATTACTAAATCGTTTATTTCTACAAAACATTATACAGATTTCAGCTCTCATATATACTACATATATATACCCAACTCATTTATTAACACCTTAACCTGTATATACCTCAACAATATCTATTATGAATAAAAACACTAATAAGACATTTTTATTTGAAGTTAATGAGGCAATAAATACTATGAATTGTTCTTTTGATAAACTAAACAGCATTATAAATCTACAAAACTCAATAAATATTTTCTCTATGAATATCTGTAGCATTAAAAAACATTTTGATGAACTATGTATTCATCTAGATAACATGAACACCAAATTTGATGTTATTATTTTAACAGAGGCTTGGTTAGGGCTTGGTAATATATCAATCACCAATTTCTCAATCTCAGGTTACTCAACTCATACAACTTTAAATAATAAAAATCAAAATGACGGTATTGTAGTATACTTAAAAGACACCCTATCGGATGTCTCGATAATAGAATTTAACACATCAGCACTAACAACTTTAGAAATTTCTTTCAAATTATCAAAAACGGCCTTTGTAATTTATCCTACTTATAGATCTCCTAATGGTATTATTGATATAGCACTAGAAGAATTAAACGATATAATACTGAGTAGTTCTAATCTAAAAAAAGCTAAATATAAAATCATATTAGGTGATTTTAACATCGACATACTAAAACCTACAAAAACAAATGAAGATTATCTCATGTTAATGGCCCAGTTCGGATTTATACCTGTAATTATAAACATAACCAGACCTGTGTCTAATACTTGTATTGATCATATTTTTGTTAAAGCAAAGTCTTTATATCACATAAAGCCAATAGTTATTAATTCCAATATAACAGATCATTACCCAAACATAATTAGTATAGGAAATTTACTTGACAACCGAAATAATAAACCAAATCTCTTAAAAATACTTATAGCAGATGATGCTAAATTAACTGACCTAATTCAAAATTTTGAGTGGTCTGAAATGTATAATATTATCGATTCTAACAGAGCAGCACATTATTTTACGGAAAAAATAACTAGTCTTAAAAAACAAGCTTCTACCGAAATATCTATCAATTCTAAAACTAAAAAAATTAAACCATGGGCCACTACCGCATTAATTAATTCCATAAGGCATAGAGATCACCTTCACCTTCAAGTTAGGAAATATCCTTTAAATCTAAAACTAAAAGACTATTACCTTAAATTCAGAAACAAGTTAACGTATTTAATAAAAGAAACTAAAATTAAATACTACAAAAAAGAAATACATAAATCCGGGAACAATACCAAACATAAATGGCAATTAATCAATGATATCATATCCAGAAACATTAAATCAAATAATTTTAATGAATTACTAAATAATATAAAAGCTAATACTGAACCTAATGACAGAAAACCAGCCTCAATCTTGGCCGATAATTTTAATGATTATTTTATAAATGTGGCAACGGATCTAGTAACACAACTGAATAACGATACTAATGTAAATAATTTGTCCAACATCCACCGATCTAACAATACAATTATGTCAAATAATTCCCCCTTAAATAAATTTGAGCTGATAACACATGAAGATATATTACAAGCAACTTCTAAATTAAAAAATGGTGCATCACCTGGTATCGATAACATATCCTCTAATCTTCTAAAAAAATATATTACTTTTCTTGTTAAACCTCTCACTCATCTTTTTAACCTATGTATCACCCAAAATAAAATTCCTGATGTTTTTAAAGTAGCAATTATTACACCCATTTACAAGAAAGGTCTAACTTCTATTATTAGTAATTTTAGGCCAATATCTGTAATATCAAATGTAGCAAAAATATTTGAAAAAATTATAAAAGCAAAATTAGTACATTACTTAGAATCGAATAACCTACTATTTGAACACCAATATGGTTTTAGACCCGATAAAAGCACTGATCAAGCCATAGCAATTGTAACCAAAACGATCTATAGTACACTGGAAGAAGGAAAAAAATGCGCAACTATTTATCTTGACCTGGCGAAAGCCTTCGATACTGTGGACCATGTAAAGCTTCTAAAAAAAATGCACGACATAGGTATTACTGGTTCGGCTCACTCACTATTCGAATCTTATTTGGAAAAAAGAAAACAGAGGGTTAAAATAAATGATAGCATCTCTTGTGAGCAAACTATTATATGTGGTGTTCCTCAGGGTACTACACTTTCTCCAGTACTCTTCAATATTCAGCTAAATGATATAAAACTTTTAAACTTAAATAGCAAAATTATTTGTTACGCTGACGATACGGTATTAATTTGTAATGGTTTAACCTGGGAAGAAGTTTTCGCTAATATTGAGGCAGATTTACTGTCAATTAAAATCTGGCTAAAGAAAAACAATCTATTTCTAAATTTAGATAAATCAGCCATACTACTTCACTCCCTATCTGAAAGTACCCTACCTACCTTAAATGAACTAAAAATCCATGAATGTAAAACTTTATTACTAAATCACTGCCAGTGTAAATCTGTTTCCATTGTCAAAAATTACAAATACTTAGGTATCGAAATGTGTCATGATATGAAATGGAAAAATCAAATTATTAATACTTCCAATAAGTTAAGAAAGATGATTTTCATCATGAAATCACTACGTGAAATACTAGATTTTAAAGACATTAAACTTATATACTTAACTCTATTTGAACCTTTAATCACATATGGCATAATTGGTTGGGGTAGCGCCTATGATAATGTGCTATCACGACTTCAAAAATGCCAAAATACTATTATTAGAGTTGCTTGTAACAAAAAATGGAGATATCCTACAAAACAATTATATGAAGAATTTTATGTACTTAATATAAATAAACTATATATAAAAACCTGTACCATTTTCCTAAAAAAACATAACCTGTTATCCCCAGTAAATCACAAAATCAACACTAGATATGCTTCTAATAACTATTCGCTAAAATATCCAAAAAAAACTGGATGTAGTAAAATATATGATATTGTTGGGACACATATACATAATATAATGCCCAAAGAAGTGGCTAATATGTCTCTTTCTATTTTCAAAAAATATATCACACATTGGCTTCACCATGAATACGATGCTATAATATTGTAGATTTAGGATTAATTTGTTTTCTTCTTGTTATTT